ACCTTAGATGTTGGGGCTCCGGGATGCAGTTTTGGAGTATTACCACCCTAGATGTTGGGGCTCTGGGGTGCAGTTTTGGAGTATTACCACCCTAGGTCTTGGGGCTCCAGGGTGCAGTTTTGGAGTATTACCACCCTAGGTCTTGGGGCTCCGGGGTGCAGTTTTGGAGTATTACCACCTTAGGTCTTGGGGCTCCAGGGTGCATATTGAGGTAAGGAAAGTGGTCTGTGAGGCAGTCGGATGTAGCCATAGCCCTGTCCAGTCTCTGGGCTTTGCCCCTGTGGGCACCGTGCTAGGATGTTTGAGTCATTTTGAAAAATAAGAAAGCTGTGAAATGGGAGGAATAGTATAATGGTTTCCTCTTCCCACTTGCTAGGCTTTCACTGTCCACATTGGTGAGCTGAGGTAATTTTCAGGCATGTAGTCTGGCCTTTGCTCTGTTCGGTCAGCATGTGGTCCCATTATCCCCAGGTAGTCTGGGAACAAGTATTGTATATTATGTTAGTTGTTCTAAATTGCCAGAACACATAAGTGTTAGAACACACTGACCTTCAGAGCATGTGATCATGACAACAGAATCACACCTAGAAAATTACAGTAAATCCTTTAACCGATATGCTTAGCTGTGTGATGTTTTTAAAAATGTACAACTCGACTCAGTCTTTTAAGTCATATGGGACAGCTCTAGTACATCTCAGTGTTGAGCAGATAAGTGATGCTTCTGCATGCTGCAGGCTTCATGGTGGATAGGCATGCTTTCTGTGTGCTTGTGCCCAGCACATAGGAACCAAGTCCAGGAAATGCATGCTGTGGACATGCAGGCACAGTGGAAATACACTGACTACAATGCATTTCTCAAGTGGGCAGAAGGAGGTACACAGCATGGTTCGGAAGTGGCCACTTGGTTCTGCCCTGGTGTTCTACCTGCTAAGTATTCACTAGTGAAGTAAAAGATGCACAGGGCCCAGCTTGAGGAAACCTGGTAAGAGAGACAGACACTAATCATGTGAGTCACTACTCAGTAATCTGATTGAGAGAAAATACAAGTGACCAGAGGGAGGGGTAATTAATTGATGGACATCGTAAACATCATTAAGTGATCATGCATCTTTCCTCGCCACATAAATTGACCCCAGAAAGGTAGGACTAAGTCAGACCAATGTCCATAAAGAAGCCAAGTGTTCACATAACACCAGGCCAATTGTTTTGTGGGTGGATTCTCTGAGCCCTTAGGTCTCCAGTGATCAGTACTACATGATTTGTGTATGAATAGAGAGCAAGGTGGAAAACATTGAGATGTTTGCCTCGTGAACACATACAAACAAGGTTAGGGGGCTTCTGGTATTGACAGACATGGAGCTCCAGAAGGGCACATGACCCCAGTAGTGAGTGATTGTGAGACTCAAATGTTAAGAAAACTCTAGTTACATGGAGAAAATGGGTGTGGAGACTCCTAGGGACATAGTCCACAGCAAAGAGCCACTATAGTCTCATTCCCTCCTGGGCCTGGGGAAACAGTGAAGCTGGTCACTGGAAACAGTGTATGGGATAGGGCTTTTGTATTCCGGACAAGCCTGTTATACTGTTACACCCATAATACCATGTGGGGACAGATGATACATTATTGTTACCTGAGATCACATTCTTAGGAAATGCACATGACAGTGTGTAGAGGTCCAGGCCATGTGGCCACCTATACTGTGTGTTGGGTTTGGGAGAAATGTGGATGTGTGAGGAGAAAGATAAGAGACAGAGCAGGTGACACTGAATGAGCCCAGGTCTCAGCAATTACTAATCCAAGGAAGGGACAGGGGGGAATTTGCCCTGTTCCAAGTCTGAAAGTTTGGGGTTATATTCCATTGCAGGGGTACATGGTATGTGCCTACCTGTGTTCAATTGACCTGTGTTTTGAAGGATCTTAGTGCTCATTTTGAGTGACGAGTTCGTGGATTTGGATGGATGCTGGACATGTAACTTGTATGAAATTATGAAGATGTTGTTTGTCTGTTTCTCCCTTCTCCTCATTCTAGGTGAATGAGAGCTTTGCCATTGATTTGATAGCCGAGCAGCCTGTGAATGAGGTGGACCATCGAGTCATATCCTGCGATGGAGGAGGTGGTGCCCTGGGCCACCCCAAGGTGTACATAAATCTGGTATGGAGCTAAGCATCTTGTTTCTTGGTGCTCACCTTCCCTCCCAGCCACCTGCCTGGCTCCGGGTATCCCTACCATGCGTGGGGTGGACCCAGATAACAGCCACAGCTCCACGTTCAGTCTTTGCCTTGTGTTTTCACAGGCATTTCTGGTTGACACCATATTTCAGGTTCAACCTGACTTTCAGTGTGCTGTCTAATTGGGATTTGAAGTAAAATATAAAAGTATGAGATGTTTCCTTTTGCGTTTTTTCAGGATAAAGAAACAAAAACGGGGACATGTGGCTACTGTGGCCTGCAATTCAAGCAGCACCGTCACTAGTGTGGGCCGTGTCCTGGTTCTGACACCTGTGGGACATCTCCATGTTAGGTGTTTTGGTGGGAGGTCACTGCTCTGTGAATGGTGTCCCTTCTTATGAATAAAAGACGATACGATCATGGACAATGAGTTGTTTGTTCCTTTCATGGTGAGAACTGGAAGTGAATGTCCATGTAGCAGATGTGAGCAGGAGCAGCTTTGCTTCTGGAGCGGCTGCCCCTCTAGTGCTGGCTGCTACGTGTGGGTCAGGTTGTCCTCAGCTCCTCACCTGTGGGGTGACCAGAGAAGTGGCCAAGCGAAGGAGCAGTGAGGAGACCGTCCGAGTGGCCTCAGTCTGTGTGGCACAGAGCTGTACCCTCACCTGCAGATGCAGGGTCCTCCCTCCTCGTCCTTACACCAGCAGCATCTTCCGACCTGTTGGAAGGCATTTACGATTACTGACCCAGTGAAGGATGTACTTCATATTTAACTCGGGGTTATAATGCAGCAGTACGCCACTAATAACAGCAGCTGACTGGAAAGGAGTCCACAGGGATGTAGAAGCTCCTGAAGGAGGAGTGGGGATCCCCAGGGAAGAGGTGAGGACTTGGGAGCCCCCAGGGAAGTGTTTCCGTTGGTCAAGGTTCTTTTGCTCTACTTGTGCAATGATCAGTGTAGTCCAGGGAAGGACCACTGGGTGCCCAACACCCAGGAACTGGATGGCTGACCTACGGGCTTCCAGTTCCAGGCTTTAGAAGCCAGAGGCAAAGGTCTAGGTCATCAGGAAGAACCATGTTTGTGCCACTCAGTCTTCTACTGTCCTCTAGCCTAGTTGGAAATACCTCAGGATCATCTAGGGGTCATGGAGACTTGTGATTTAAAAAAAAAAAAAAAGATTCTGGTGCTAGCTGTTTTGAAATAGTGGCAAAAACAACCTCCAGGAGTGGAGTTGGGCTTTGCCAGCAAGCAGTTGTGGTTTCCCTAAAGGTCTGGTATATTCAGGAGCAGCTGGTCACCAGGATGAGGGCTAGCCAGCTGGCTGATGGGCTGATTGTCCTGTGCTCAAGTAGCTGGATCACCAGGGAAGGGCCTGACAGCTGCCAATCAGGAAATCAAACCACTCCAGTCCCCAACTTATTTAAAGGAAAACAAACAAAAAACATTAAAAGGGACATTTACAACAAAGGCTTAACAGTATTAACTGTGCCATAGTATTTAACAATGTGATCACAATGCTTAACTTACATTCCAGATTCAGGGGTGATGTTGCCCCTCTAATATATGAAGATTTGGGGACTCTATGGGAAGCTAGAGAACTCGAGGATGTGGGAAACACAAAAAAGGACATGCCACAAGACAGGCTGTAGTCGGAAGATTTCTCCGGTCCCACCAAACCCCCACAGTCCCACAGCCCGCTTATAAAATAATCACCCAGAAGCTTATATTAATTACAACTGCTTGACCATTAGCTCAGGCTCATTACTGACTATCTTTTACACTTAAATTAACCTATGTTTAGCCACATGGCTTGGTACCTTTTCTCAGTTCTGCCTTTTCATCTTGCTTCCTCTGTGTCTGGCTGGTGACTCCTAACTCAGCCTTCCTCTTCCCAGAATTCCCCTCGTCTGCTCTCCCTGCCTATGCTTCTGGCCTGGCTATTGGCCAATCAGCGTTTTATTTATCAATCAATCAATCAATCAATCAATCAGAGCAACGTTCACAGCATACAGAACAACATCCCACAGCAACAGGACACTCGGGCATGAGAAAGGACACAACTAAGCTAGTTCTGATTTTAAGAAAGCCTGGTTGGGAGAAAAAAAAAATGGCAGACTAGAAATGTCTTCTTACGTTTCTGCAAGTAAGTCAGGAAGAAAAGGAGAGACTATGCTCCCAGAAGAGAAAGCAAGGGGAAAATCTAGTTCATCAAACAACAGGAAATGCTTATGTGTGTGGGTATATGTGGGTGAGTATAGTGCCTATGGACGCAGGAGTTAGCAACAGCAGTGAGCTGCCTGGTGTGAACTTGGGTTCTTAACCACTGAGCCGTCTCTCCAGCTCAAAGTTTTTAAGTTTGTTACTATAATTTTACACACCCACAACTTGGATACTGACCGTTCCCCCACCCCCCAATCCCTCAATCCTCACAAATCTTCCATGTTCGTGTCTGCTTTGCTTTGCAGATTAACCAGGGTCATTTGTGTGACCATGGGCTTGTGGCAATCGGCTGGAGCCTGGTGGGCTCTGCGGTGGGTACACCGCTGAAAAGAGTGATGCCCCTGTCCCAGAATGTACTGCTAGAGGTAAAGGGTAGGACCCCTGGAGCCCCTCCCCTTTCTTGGCTAATCATTGATAAGGCTGACCAGCTGTGGGCCCCAAACAGGTAACTACAGTTGCTGTGAGTTAATGATTGCAATAGTTGTATCCAGGCTAGAGAACAGCATTGCATAGCCCCAGGTCACATCTGCTGGGTCTTACACACTTCTTGCCCCTTGTTCCTTAATGTTCGCTGGACCTCCATCACTTATACTTCAAATTTTCGGCAACTCCATGTGTTTGCCTTTACCACTGTTCATGGTAAGGGAAGCACTTTTGTTTATAAGTAGAAGCACTCGGTGTTAGGTCAGTTTAGTTAACCAGAAATATGCTCTCTGTGGGCCTCTGATTTCCCCAGATTTGGGTTGCTAGCTAGGCCTACGATACCAGCTGTAGATACACCCCCTGTGGAATGGGAGTTGAATCCGGTAAGAGGACACATGTTGCCCCACCACAGTAAATTTGCTATCACACAAGTGGGTGTGTATTGTTTCCAACAGGTTTCTTTACATTACCCCTACCTTGCACCCATATTTTCCCACCTCTTTCCCGGCCTAAGCCTTTTCACCCACAGTGTTACCCATTTCACTTTTAAGACATGTTTTAGTATTCCCTGTCTCTTAAGGTAACTGCCCCCCACACTCTTCCCTGTTTCCTGGCATCTACAGGTATCCTATGTTAGACATACTGAACTAGAGTTGAAGCTAGGATCCTCATATGAAAGTTAGTATTTGTCTTTTGGGGCCTGGGTTACTTCACTCAGATTAATTTTTCTTCAATTCCATTCATTTCCCTGCACATTTTATTTTTCTTTGTAAATGAGCAATATTCCATTGTGTATATATACCATATCTTCATTATCTGTGTACCAGTTAAAGGGCATCTAAGCTGCTACCATTTCCTAGCTATTGTGAATAGAGCAGTCGTGAGCATGGCAGTAGGTGTCCCTTTTGTAGGTTTTAGAGTCCTTTTCCTGTTGTATGTTTTAAAGTCCTTTTCCTGTTGTAGGTTTTAGGGTCCTTTCACCTGTTGTAGGTTCTAGAATCCTTTTCCTTGTAGGTCTTAGAGTCCTTTGGGTAAATGCGCAGGAGGGGTACAGCTGGGCCATATGGTAGTTTTGCTTTCAGAAACCTCTAGACCGATTTCCAAAGTGGCTGCCCTAGTGTACATTCCCACCCGTGGGGTATGAGTTCCCCTTTCCTCGTATCTGCACCAGCATTTGTTGTTTCTGGTGTTCTTGATGGCTGTCCCAGCTGGGACAAGATGGAATCTTAAAGTAGTTTTAATTCCCTGATCCTTAATCCTTAGCCATCAATTCCTGAGGTGTTTGCTAGCCATTTGTCCTTCTTCTTTTGAGAACTTTGTTTAGTTCTGTAATCTTTTTTTTTTTTTTAAAGTCGGATTGGTTTGCACTCTCTCCCATCCTGTAGGCCATGTCTTCCCTCAGTTGTATACTTTGCTGTGAGAGGCTTTTCATGAACTCCCATTTGTAGGAATAACAGGCGCTCTTAACATGTGAAGTCAGAATGGCAATGCAGAGGAAAATAGAAAACAAGCCAATGGCTGGACTTCTGCAAGAAGACAGAGCTAGGCTCTGAAAGCACAAGGTGAACTGGAAGGTCCCCCGAGAGACGACTGTAGACCGGCAGCCCTACTTGCAGAAGGGATCCACAGTTCACACCAACTATAGACCCAGATGGGGGCTTGGTCCATGGGTGACTTCCTTCCTATGCAGAAAGCCAGCTCTAGAGGAGTCATTAAATGTATCATGCCAGGAGCCATCTTGACATGAGGGCTACTGTCAGGGGCTGAACTGCCCCAGGGAACAAGAAATGGCATAACCATCCAGGGTCCCTGGGGACACTACATCATACTGAGTGTGTAGAAGACTTCTACACAAGACAGTTGTGGCCAGCATGAGACACTGAGGTGTTTGAGCAGAGGGGATGCATAGCTTCAGATGTCATATATGGGATTCCCCAGGGAGTAGGTGCCAGAGCCACTAGCGGCCAAGTCCTGGCATTCTCACTAGCCGGTCTTTAAATATTCCCTGCCCATGTCCATGGTATATGCTGCCCTGAGACTATCATGGTCATGCATGCAGACTGAGGTCTGTGAACTGATTGTATGAGCACCCCAGGGCAACCCACATAATCCCAAAGTTTGGTGGGTCAGGAGGGCTTGCTGACAGCACACACCAACTCCTAGCCAACACACAGGCAGGGTACTGGAGTGAGCATGTGTGCAAAGAACGAATTGTCTTCAGAACAGGAACTTTTGACTCAGGCTGTTGGATTCCAAGCAGATGGAATCTGAAAACAGTTGTCAGCAGCTGTGCTCATCTGTGACAAATCAGACTTCAAGGTCACTAGACAGAGGAACATGTCCTCACATATTGTGGGGCTGGATGGCTCAAGCGTGAGGTGACACATCAGAAGCAGAAAAGTCACATGCAAGCTGGAGGAAATGCTGGAATTGTGCTGAAAACATTCCTGGTCTTGCATGACACAGGTTGGCATGAAAGGTTAACATGAGGGAAGCGGTGAAGACAGAGAGAAACAGGCCGGAGGGTGTGACAAGAGACCGATGCCCATCTGTAGCGAGCCGGCATCAGGCTGCATGTGAGTTATGTACCTAAGTGTGACAGAGGGTTTTCATTTAATAAAGAGGTGTTTATCTTGAGTTATGGTGGCTAAGTATGAAGACTTACACAAAAGGATATTTGTGGAGGGCTGTTGGCAATGGGCAGATCATATGAAAACACAACCTGATTAGTTTTCTTAGCTAATTCAATGAGATAATACAAAGGCATATTAGCAGTGCAGG